AATTTGAACATTTCATGGCCAGCCCAAAATTAAGTACAATTCCCTGTTTTCCTGGTTGGTAGACACCCACCCTGAATGATCGGACTATGAGAAAGGGTTTTTTCAGGGTCAAATTTTTTCCCCCATTCTTGACCCTCTAAACATCAAATTTCGCTGTTTCTTTCTAAAACATTTTGTAGAGCTTGAAAAAGAAATAATTTAGTACATTGAAGCGTTTTTGTCAGAGTCCGGATGGTTATGGAGAAAATTCCAAAACAACTGTAAACTGAAAATTCTTACGTTAGGTGGTATTCTTAAGGAGAATAAATAAAGTGATGTAGTTTGCTTGTTTACAGATTTATTTGTACCAAATTTCTTTATTTCATACCAAGCTATAAACATAAAAAAAAAAAAAAAAAAAAAAAAACACCATATAACATTCTTTGTACAGTAGACCCCCTCTTAACTGATCTTGCATCAACCGATAATCGGATTATAATTTGTTTTAAGCGACCTTACTTTCAGAGCAGTTAGGTTTAACCAGTGTTGGGGAAGCTACTTTTAAAATGTAGCTAGCTACAACTACTGCTACAGTTCCGAAAAAGTAGCTAGCTACAACTACAGCTACAATGAAATGTAGCTACAGCTACAATTTTAGCTACTTTTCCAAAGACGTTACTTTTTATTCCATGCACATTAGGTAAATGTAAAATTAATTGCAACTACATTTTTACTGAACAAACATTTAAAAAATGTCAGTATTGTATGTAACATTAATTGGAAAACAAATTATTACTAGATTGTATTTAATTTTTTGGCATTATAAACCTAACATTAAGTACAACAACAGAACCAAATAGTTGGGTGTCCCATCATATTTAGTACTTATTTTTAAATAGCCTATTGCATTATTTTTAAGCATCTTAAATGTAAATTTCATTAAGTTCAAAGGACATACAACCAAACTATATTTTAAAAGCTCATTTTATTTCTTTAGTATAGATTCATTTATAGATGTCTTATATCAACAATTAAGACCAATAAAACTGTAAAACGATTATTTAAAAATACATTTTTGTGTTACAGAGCCTAGCCTACTGAAATTGGAGTTTATTGCCTTTCTTTACTTTTAATGTTAAAAACGACATTGCTATAAACTTTTAAAGTGATAAGTTACTTGTTCTATGAATAACACTTTTCAATGTCAAGAAATCGTCCTTTATTGTCATTATGCATAGGGCAAATTGTGCTTCAACCTAGTTGGTACAGAAAACAGTATCCATTAACTTATCCAGAAATCGGCTTTTAATTTAGACATGTTGAAATTTGTAAAGTAAAAACAACATGTAGGCCTACTTGGCTATGTAACAAGTTGGCTATAGTAGGCTTGTTCTTGCAAGAACTAAACGGATATATTCCTAATAATTGAACTTGGAACTTGGTATTCGTTTTAAACCATAGCATAGCCTAGGAATTAATAGTCCTATACAAGAGTTGTTACCAGGAGCAAACAATGCTATTTTTTTCAATGAAAGTTTCATGTTATATGGAGATTTTTTCATTACAATTATCATTCAGTCTAGGCATATCTTAAATCACATCAGGTAATTTCCTCTTTGTTAGTTTAGTAAACCTTTGAAAAATCTTCGTAATCTAACCAAGGAAGGGCTTGTGATGATGAACCACAATCAACAGCTGAAGCAAAGGTTGATAGACCAGCTTTCTCATTATTTTAAGGTTTATTGTTGAACACTATCAGTATAATAAACAAACTAAATTGATTACTAATTTCCCTGTCAATCACTTGCAAGCATTCAATAGCTTAGCTTCTCTTCTTGTCACCGGTAACGTTTAAACGTCGTCTGCATCTAGCGATTTTATTTTATCTGACAGTAATCATAGAGTAGTAAATTAAGGAAATGAGACTAGCGTCTAGACTGCCAGTGCAAGTCCGAGGAACGGAGGATCGTGGATCAGAACATACCGGCGCATCAGCATAGCTTATCTAACTGTTCGCGGAAAATTGTTATCTGTATCACTGTTGCTGTCAAAACGTATAATTTGTAGATTAAATTTGAATTAAATATAATTAAACTATCATAACCTAACCAAACTTGCTGATAATGATAAACTCGAATGAAGGTTTACTAATCGAAAAATAGCTCTGTTCTAAAAATAAAATTAAAAATGTCTCAAATTCAATTTTACAATCCTTTAATTATAAAATTAAACTGTCATAACCTAACCAAACCAACCAAACTTGCTGATATGAAAAAAATTGTTGACAAAAAGTTAGTGCTCCCAGTGGGATTCGAACCCGGCACCATCAGATTATCAGCCCGACACGCTATCCACTACACCAAAAAGGCTCATGACTCAGTTCGGTTCAGTATCGTTGCAGTAATGGTTGACGTCACGTCATCGGCACTGAGCGGTGGTGGGGGGTTTTTCGATCTGATCCACGATCCTACCGATCGGCCGTTCCTAGGAGTTGCACTGGCAGTCTAGATGCTTATGGAAAAGAGAGCCAAAAAATGTGGATAACACTCATTTAATGGCCTCCATGTCCACACAACGTTGTTATAGGGAATGAAACGGCTGCAACCAGCTGTATGAAGCCAAGAAAGTAAGGCCTAATTTTTTTGAAAATCTCAGTTTGAAAGAGGTTGTTTCACGTAAGGTTGAGGTTATGATAAAAATCACTATCTCAAACAATGTTAATGTAGCGAGAAAAGTAGCTAAAATTCCGCTACAACTACTTTAAAAATGTAGCTAGCTACAGCTAAAGCTACAAAATCTTAAAAGTAGCGTAGCTACAGCTAACGCTACAAAAAAAGTAGCGCGCTACTGTAGCGTCGCTACTTGTAGCGCGCTACTTCCCAACACTGGGTTTAACCGCCACTTTCTAGGAATCTCGGCATTTCCGCTCCCACGCTCCGCGATGAGAACTATACGCTTATCTCCACAGGATGTGACTAAGAATTAGTTACTAACATATTTATCTAAAAAAATATTGAATATTGCCAGTTTGTCATCGTCTGCAGCACAAGCCCATCTGATTTGTTATCTGTGCGGCAGATTTATAAAATCGTAAAGTGTGTTGAAGGAGAATATAGAATTATCTTATCGCTAGAGTAACAGGGTGTCCAGCAAATGGGCTTGGACTAATTCCCACATATTTCCCGAGTAACTTCCATTTCCCTCCCTCCCACCCCCCCAAGTCATTACTCTTGTCTACAACTATAATTTATTCCACTAAAAGTATTTGACTTAACCATGTATTTTTATTTATTTGTGACTTTTCTATCAATACGAAAAAAAGGATATGGGTAGGTGTATTTTATTTTATAAATAATGCATGTACGACTTCAAAATAATGATTATATAAATCCAAATTAATAGCACTTCATTTTGTTATTTGTTTAGAGATTGCCCGTTTTAACCAACCTTGAGTTATCTGACCTAGGCTCGGTCCCATTAGGAACGGTTAAGAAGGGGTCTACTGTACAGTCTACTCTTGGTAATTCAAACACTCGATAGAGCGAAACTTTTGATAATCCAAAATAAAAGCTCAGTCTGTAGAGATCCTAAATTTTCCTTATTTTTACCATGCATTTTGATACAATCGGTTTTTTTAAGTCTGATCAGAGGGCAGGACGATTTGCAACACACATTCTAAGTTTCACCAGGGAAAAACTCTATGATTCGAAGGTAGGGATTCCTTCCTGTCATAATGTATTTTTGGCAATTTTTAAAATGGAATTTTGGAATATTAAAGCAGTCGCATAAGCCTTACTTAAATTTGGTGCAAATTAAAATTCACAATTTCAGCGGGATCGTAGGAGTTGATAATTATTACACACTGAGTCGCTACAATCGCGGTAGATAATCACCATTTCTCTGCAAATCTTAAGTCACAAATTATCGATGATCGATGTTTCTTTAATACCATCGAAATTATAATTTACATGGAATAGAGGATCTTAATCGGTCCATCACATTTTTATTTATTTTTATGGTTTAAAAGATCCACGGTTTTTTAGTGGTTCACCTGTTACTGGTGTACAAATATATAATTACAATACTGAAGTTCATTTTATTGGAAACCTATGATGGATATTAAAAGATACCCTCGCCACAGCAAACCTGCTGACTGAGCAAAATTCTATTTGCCTTGTCGGATTACCACTGAAATATACCCCTAAAACATCTTTTGATTATTCCCAATTTAAATAACAATATTTTTAGCGAGTACAAGGTTTGCTGCTACAAGGAATTTCATAAATAGTCTTTTTTATTAAAATGTAAATAATTTTTATGAAATAAATAAATTTGCCATGTTTGATCAAATTATATCCAAAAACAAGTAAAACTACAACAGTTTACTTATTATTCATAAGATTAACATTTGAATTTTAAATTTATAGTTTTTTTGCAATTTCCTCAAACCAGTAGTTAACCTATGCTTCTGTGAAAGATTTCCTACTGACTCCTTGTAGGCTATCCCCCATGCAGTAATAAACTAAAAAAATAATATTTTAGTTCCCAATTCAAATTGCAAAGTTTGAATCTTCTAGCATACATATTGATACAAATAGTCAGTTATTCCGGGAGTTTTCACAAACCCTGAATATAGGTATATATGAATTTGACGGGATTGTGTTATTGGCCCCTGGAGACATCAAAAATCAGTCACGGGTCTTACTATTGGTCTTAGTTTCTTGGTAATAGCTTATTCCCAATAAAGGGTAATTTGCTAAAAAAGTTACCTTTCTTTTTCAAACAATAAAGGTCTTATAACACATTTTGTAGTGATAATGAGACTAAAATAATTATAAAGCAAAACTAATTATGATGTTTGCAATAATCACACACTAGTAGATTAAGAAATGAGTACTTACAGAGCTATACAGAATCTTAAACCATGATTATTTGGCTTAAGTTAAACATCAGAATAACTCTCCATTTTTTTTTTACAATATACTAGTTAATTGTAGAACTTAATGTTAAAAGTAACTTACTTTGAACAGTTCACTTTTGCCCTCTCTGTCTTTTGGGCACTTGTAGGAAAAAGCTTCGTCAAGAAGAGCTCGCAACTGACCGTCGTTTAAACCAGAGACGTCTTTGTCTTCAACTTTCTGTAACAAAAAAAAGCATTACACATAGTTGTATATATTATAAACCTTTACCACAGATATGATGGCGCAAGATAAGGCTATATACTAAGTAAGGAATATCCGGCTGCTACTAGGCAAACGCTGATTGCTCTACTCAGTGACTGCCCAGCCGTCACAACAAGATTGCCGGCAAGTGTCATTGGGCAGACAATTATAAGAATATATTCATGTTTCGAAGGAGTGTGCTGCAATTGTAAATCTTTATAGTTGTAAGGTGTGGTCCACAAATACTAGAAAAATACCAGTATGGATCATAAACATATGACGTTTTTGGCCCGAACTAATAGCATATTTTGGCAGTTCCATCTAAGCATAAAATTTTCATCTAAGCAGTTCCATCTAAAATACTATATGTACCAACTGTTATAATAATAAACAACACATTATTATTCCATATATTGTTATTGTTGTAATTGTTATATTAATAATGTTCGCCACTGAGCGTCGCATATGTGCGACGCTACGGTCATTGCCACAGACCGAGATATACATTTGAATCTTACACATAGACCGGCTGTCACTTGGTTAACAATACACACAGACAACGGGCGAAAACCTGTAAAACAGTGATCATTTACATTATAATACGCTGCGATCGTGTTTGTAAATAGTTTATTCTTATTTTAATTTTTAATAACCTTTTGTAATGTTGCATATTGGCGACGCCCGGTCTACAGCGAAGACAATAGTGAAAATTATCACAGTTTTCTTGAAATAGCCCAAACGCCGCATATATGCGACAGTTCATTTTTTGTTTGTGTTTTGAGGTGAAAGTAAAAAAAAACAGATTATTCAAGAACAGTTTATAACTGAAAAAATATAAAAGCTACATAGGATAACGCAGCATACATACTGCATACATACATACAGTGTCATATGACGTCACCAATCATCATATCCACATACCAAGTGATGCAGTTGTGCGTCAGACATCTCTGTAGACCACTGCAGGGAATTCAGTGCCTTCAAATAGACTGATGCAAGAATATAAGCATTTTAATAACATTAGAACCCTGTCGCAAATATGCGACTGCAGTCTATGGGTAGAAACCGGCCGTCGCATATGTGCGTCGCTGGTCCATGTGAATGAAAAATTTCGTACTATTGCAGTAGCAAACTTTAAATCATGTTTATTTTCGGGCCAAAAACGTCATTTCTTTTTGTTTATGACCCATACCGGTTCTTTTCAAGTATTCGTGGTGTGGTCTGTAACACAGATTTTAGTTGGCAAAACTCGTAATCTAGCTAGACAACTTTAAAGGTCTGTACAGAAAATTATGTATTCAGTTTAAAAATAACCAAAAGTAAGTTGTAAGTCTAATTTTTTCCCCATGGCGATGCTTGACCTCACGTAGAGAATCAAATACGAGATCATTCATTTAAGTGGAAGATTTTACCTCAACTAAACTAAAGTTAAAACCCTGCTCAGAGTGACTTTCACTTGTTTTCCAGAATGATGAGTTAGTAAGCAGCATAGTGCATTGATGATGACTAGGAACTTAAGTGGCTGAGATCACAAGCAGCAAAAATCAACAACCGAATGGAATTTGGCCACGGCTATGATGAGTGTATAAGAGTGGTATTTGAGTTGCTCTTTCAAATGTTCCTTACTCTCTGAATTAGCCCTGTCCCTGGAATAACATCTAGTTGGGCAATATAGGCCCATGATGACTACGGGTGAAAACATTGTGGAGCGGAGAGGATAAAGTCGCGGAGAGCGTAACTGAGAGTACTTTAACCACCAATGGTAGAGGCGCTTCAATGCACATAGTTTAGCGGATACAAGAGCTGGATAACAGTAATTTTGAACATTCATTTAAACCTTAATGTATCCTATTGAGGGTCAAATGTACTGGTTTTGAAAAGAAACCAATTAAAGGCATAAAAGATTAAATTCAGCAAATTGGTATTAGGCTATACAATAGCAAATAATTAAAATATTATTGTTGCATAATATTTCTAGAAAATTCTAATGTTAAAAAAGAAAATACTTACGTACGGGTAGGCCTACCTAAATTTAAGTAACCTTTATATAAGAAAATACTGTTTCTATGATAAATTCCATAATTATGTAGGCCTAGGATGTTCTCTTACACTCAGGCTACGTAAACATGGGAGCGTTGCAACGCGCTGTAGTTAATAGACTTTGCGTACATAAGAAAGTGTTGAACGCACGTTTAAGCAACACTATTAAATGGCACGTCCCAGTATAGCCATAAAAGTCAAAAAAGTAGTTTTTGTTTGGGATTTGTATGAGATATAAAGAACGAAGACAACATCAAAATACCCCCGTTGCAGCAATCCAAGCGTCCTTCCCCATACTAAAAGCGAATTAACATGATCTATTTTGTCTGATGGTAGTTTTCGCTGTATTTCCCTGCACTTGTCAGATGTAGTCCCTATTTAAATAACATTACTTTTAACAAGTACTTAAATTTGCTGCCACAGGGTAGGAAAAAGGTAATTTATAGTAAAATAAATATTTTACTGTGGCATGAATAGTTTTTTTTTTTTTTTTTTTTTTTTTTATTTGATCAATACTGTATATACGTAAAAAAACTAGGCTAACTAGAACATCACATCAAAATAAAATTGTTAAGCGGTTCCAGGTGACCGTGCCGGGTAAAATTTCCTTGGTTATTTTTTCACTTTTTACTCTAATCGAGGAAATATGAACGTAAGATTTGAATTAAGTAAGAATGCTAATTGCTTTATCTAACAAAAGGTCTGTCCAGCACCTTGTGAAAACATTCTTAGGGATTGGATTTCAACAGAAGAGAACCTTGTAGTAACCATGAGGTAAGTTTATTGAATATACAAGTAAATAGCCTACACAGTAAACATACATAAAACTTACTCCCCCTTACTCCAGAACGTTTACCACGTATGGTCCCATTAGAACCATCGTAACTTGAGGCGCCTTTGCAGACGACTTAGTGAGATCACAGTCAGAGGAAAACGGACAGCCACCGTGAAGAACCTAACTTCACCCAGAGAGCTGTGAGCTTCGTCGAGGGGTAATGCTCAAAAGAAGGCCCTCTTTTACCTAATAACCCGGCCAAACGGAGCTAATCTCCTTACTAGAACGAGAATACGGTACTACTGATTCCCTCCGAAATTAGGGAGAAAAAGACTCAAGTCAGTGAAGGATAAAAAATACCTTGATGTCTTCCTTGACCAGAAACTTACCTAGAACTTACCTTGACTATGTCCTCACAAAAGGCATAGGAGCCTGTTAAGGACCCTTTGGTAAGAAATGGGGACTTAGCCCCAATCTAATATGACTTTTATTTTGTATGACTAGAAACTTATTTTTTCCGTTATTGTTCAACCAATTTTGCCAACTTGTTCAAAACATTTTTTAATGCATAAGACATATTGTTGTACATTAGGTTAAGTTAGTAATAATCTTGACAATGTCATCTGTTTTTTAGCTGTGCTATGATTCAAAACGTTGATGTGACAATAAAGAATTATTTATTTTATTTATTTTACTTATTAGACCATAGTCCTCAGTGGAGGCATAAGTACTTGTACTGTCTAAATTCTTTATAACTTTAAGAGTTTAACTTAAGACGCGATAATGTGACACGTTGTTAGTTTAAGTATTCCTTAAATCAGATTACTGTGAAATATGTTCAGATAAAAATACTGAAAGAGCGTAAACTTAGGTACATTACTTTTGTACTAGGGCTAAGCTGTAAAATAGAATCCCACAAACAGAAATACCTTCACATGTAATGTGCGGGCAATAGTAACTTACTGTAATAGGTCTAAGATAAGTCTTTGAAGATACTTGTAGCCTACAGAGAACCATGAGTATAGTTCAGTAATAAAATAGGAACTTACGAATGTGTATGTTATAGCCTAGTGAAAAATCAATTTGAGCAAAACTAACAACTTAAGCCTACTATTGGCCAATAAAAAATTATAATGAAACTCAACAAAATACCGGAACAATAAAACAAACTATCTCCTTAAACACTCGTATAAACTATGTTAATAGCCTAATAAAAACCATAAAGTACATTTAGCTTACCTCCGCTAATGATTAATATGAAAATAAAAGTAAGTTAAACATATAATTCAGGCCATTCAAATGTAATTGTAGTTATGTAAGTAAAATCTATAGTTCAAATTAGGTAACTTGGGATATGTTCAGTCTAGGCCTACTAAATAGGCTAATTCATTACGCTTAAGCTAAGTTAAGTCACGGCATAATAAGATATTAAATGCAATAATATTAAATGTTAAATAAATAAATAGCCTAAATTAATATTAGAATATCAATATTCTTCGTTCTTTGCAAAAGCTTCTCATTAAGTTAGTAGGTAAGTTAGGGAGTTCCGTAGAGAGGCCGAGTAGCCAGTTCCGTACTCAGACAGAGCTCACTAGCCCAACTCAAGCATGCGCTGGTGAGTTCCGGAGTTAGCCTATTCCAAGACAAAACAAGAGTGTTCTACAAAACAACTTCCCTAATTTAAAGATGGTGTGCTTTAACGTGAGGTAAGCGAGTCCCAGAGTCAGCTAAGTGTAATTAGGGTACTCGTTCATTGTAGATGTTAGCCTCCGGATTGCCAAATAACATTTAAAAAGGTTCAAATACCTGCTATTAGGCAATCCAAATGTTTTTGTAGACACAACTAGTTTCGGCACCTGTGTGGCACCATTACCAGGCTGTACAAGGACGGGTTTCTTTCTTCATACATTAGGCGAAACATTGGAGAGTGTCACAATAGTTAACACGAAAATAAAAAATATACTGTACATTTAAACACGAATACGAGACATTTATGGTAACTGATCAGTTAAGAAAACAGGTACAACACTAGCCCGTCGGAGTTTGAATCCAGAGTCCGATTATTATTATTGTATTAATCAATGTGACGCTCTTCGTATGAAGAAAGAAATCCGTCCTTGTACAGCCTGATGATGGTGCCACACAGGTGCCGAAACTAGTTGTGTCTACAACATTTTTTTATTGCCTAATATCAGGTTTCAGTATTTAACCCCTTGGCCGCCACGGTCCGATATATCGGACAGCGGCGCTATTGCAAACTGCCACAGTCCGATATAGGCCAATCGGACGTCTGCTAAATGTTTGTTTACTGGCCAGCTGATTGTCCAAATGGGACATAAAACCTATGAGATGATTTGTCATGAATTGGGCTACATGTAGAAACAGCTTTTGCTTTACTTTAAAATTTCGTGTTTGGTACAACTTTGTTTGTATCCATAAGAGTAGGTAGCTGTTAGACGGTGTATTACGAGTGATTTTGTTTCTGAAAATGAGTTACCGTTACTGAATGATAATTATTTCTAATTTGTTTGGTAGGCTAACTCATCGATATATAACTACTGGATCGGCAGCACCGCTCCGTTGCCCGAGCCGCCAGCAGTGGTTGCGTTCAAGGAAATGAAGGGTGAGAGTGGGCAAAAGCGCAACGCAGCGTATTGCTTCTGCATTGTCGCGGCATATGTTAAGCTGTAATATGCCTAAAAAACAGGGTTTAATAGACTTTTTTTGACAAATCATTTATCTTCTTGACATCCTCAATCATAACAATGTAATAAGTAAACATAATTAAAGTTCTATTAACACTTATTCCTAAAGTTTTCTTATGTAATTATCATTGTTTATCAACAAGATTCTGTTTGTTTAAATCTGTGTAAACATGGGTTGCAATCACTTAACCTATATTATTTTGTATGGTAGTAGGATGAAACAAAAAATTATTGATTACAAAATAATAAGTGTTTTACATAACTGGCTTTATAACGTTTACTAAACACCTACACGGATCACATGTTACAATACAAAATGGTCTTTGTCAATTTTTGCCCTAAACCTAAGTTTAAGTGTTAGCGAATTTCCCTATAGGGAAGTACCTATTGCCGTAGGTGGCACGGTAGGACCTAGGCCCGGGACCGATTTCCTTTTCCATTTTGATGTCCCTTGAGGCTAAAACACAATTCGTTCAAATTTTTATATATTTTTATATACGTCCGTGAAAGCTATAACTTGAGTAATCTTTGACCGATTTTGATGAAATTTGGTTTAAAGATGAAATGCGGGATAAACTTGGATGAGTTCGCGAACCAGCATGATCGGATCATGGCAACAGGTTTTTACGGAGGGTTTTATGGGGTAAACAAAATGGTCTTTCTCATTTTTGACCCTTAAAACAAAATTTCCCAATTTCTCTCTAGACCTTTTTAAAGAGCTTAAAAAAACGAATAATTTAGTATATTAAAGTGTTTTTGTACGGTTATTATTGGTAACAGAGAAAATTAAAAAATTTAAAATTTAAAATTTCCATGTTATTCTTATGGAGAATATTGTAAAATGTTGTACTTTGCTTATTTATGGATATATTTTTATCAAACTTGGCTAATTTATTTATTTTATTCTATGTTATTGATATTTTATGAAAAAAATACACTTAAATATTTTTTCTTGTAGCAGCAAACCTAGGTATTCGTTAAACCTAATGTTATTTAAATACATTTGATTGAAAATAAATTGAGATAAATGGAAATTCGCTTAGTCGGCAGGTTTGCTGTGGCGGTGGTATTTTGTTCTTTCTACCGTTTCCCTCTTAACTTAAAGTTATGAGCAGAGTCATCTAATGGTAATTTACGTCTGTAGGTTTTCCTATTTAAGACATCTCGACGTACAATTGTATGCAGCGAAACTCTTAACCATTGTATTTGATTGACATTTTGAAACTTAAAACAAACTAGGCACTAGTTATCACATGTATTTAAAAAGTCTTTCTCGTAGCAGACTTGAAGACAAACAGCCAGGATGCAAAATCCCACATTTGCGCGTCTGACGATGGTCATGTTACATTAAAAGGCGGGAAATAAAGGCGGGATGATGTGTTTTGAGAATAATCAAGTAAACTTTTAAAGGCATTTTAATAAAAGTAATCCTTTACAAGAAAGGTAACTAAAAAAAATCTAATTACATTATGCATAATAATTATTAATCCAATTACATTTGAAAAAAACTGCCAGTGTTTGTATTTAGTCGCGTGGTTGTCGCTCAGTTCTTGCCCACCCAGCACCTGCGCGTCTATGGATACTCTCCCGCATCACACTCGTGTGTGCGACCGGATTTCAAACCACAGCACTTATGGACAGCGCGCAATCCAGTAGTTATATATCGATGGGCTAACTATGGATTAAATATATTTACTATAAAATTAGCTAAAGAAAATATTTGTTGTATAGGCCTATTCTTTTTTATATTATGAAAGTCAATAATTAGGAATAAGTTTGATAAGAGTAGGCCTAAGTTATGTGATTAGGCCTAAAGCCTTTTTGGAAAAAAAACCACTGTGAGCTGATTTTTTAAGGTAAGACTTTCAAATGTTGCCAGTTTACTAACAAATATATGTAGAAAACATATCTACCTCACTTAAGTTACTTATAAGAAATATTTTTTTCTGGTGAAGTGGCTGGCTTACCTATGAATTTAATTTTAATGTATTTTTTTCGTACTGCGAAACATGTTTTTAATAGCCTGTGTACAGAAATGAAAAACCAAATCCAACTAAATAAATTGTCACCTATATTAATTTAGAGACAAATTTGTAACTAATCTAACAAAAAATAATTTTTGTTCTATGCTTAAAGAAGCAAGAGATAGAGCTTGTCAATCAAAACATTGCGTTTGACCAAAAAATGGCCTTGGCGGTTTTGGCATGCAACCATTTAAACTTAACTTAAAAATTGTAGCGAGCGAAAGGGTTAAACATTTTTAGTTAGTACCCTTACTACAGTGAAGGTTTGGAGTTAAGACAGAAAATGTTCTCCTAAAATCGTTTAACACGTTCACTGCGGGCGTATCCGATCGGATACCGGCCGAGCGCTGTTCAGACGCTGCCGTAACCGATCGGATACGCTCGGCAATGCCTTTCGTATATCATCGTTTTTGCTCTAGCGTCGGTCGAAGGCAGACCTATTCCACGTTAGCGTGTAGTGGATGACTTTCTCTTTGTTGTGTTGTAGGTTGGTAGTAAAATTTCCCCATAAAATCCCCGTCTGGCAAACTTAAAAATCAACTTGTTGTCCCGTCTTTCTCCCTCCAATTGGCAATACGATGGGACCGGCTACGTTCCAAGCAGTGCTGCTATATGTGAGTGTTTAGCGAACTACGTCGACTCTTGTTATAAAACAGGACATCACCGCACGTTATTTGCTATTCTTCATACCGAAATATTAGAGCCAAACACCCGGCAATCGGGTTTGTTCGACGCTGCGGGCTGCGCCGCACTGAGGCTACGCCTTGCCATTTGATGGCCCGCAGCGAACGTGTTAACTTAGGCCTAAGTAGGGACAGCCTATTGTGAGCCTAGGCCTAAGTTAAATTATTTTGAACTAACTTAAATATAGACTACTATGAACTGTAAAGACGATAGATGACTTGACTTGAGTAGGTAGGCCTATGCCTTGGCCTAGCCTATGAAATCAAACAATTCTTAGCCACATAGGCCTAAGAGAAATAGGTAGGGCATATTTCATGATTGAGTCTAGGCCTTAAGCTTAGGCCAAGCTATTGTAGCTGCCTTCATAATCTTGCCATCTAACTCCTGGTTTGTTAGGCATAAAACATAAGTTATTAGGCTAGAGTTGAAAGCTCTAGGTAGGCCTAGTGAAAATCCTGATTATCTCAAGCAAAGCTTAAGTTAGGTGTAACCTTGATTAGGTCTGGGTCTAGAACTGAAGGAATGAAAGATTTCTAGGCCTTAACCTTTCAAAATAAAGACTCATTGTAGGGACTAACTAATAGGCCATAGGCTAATGAAAACTAGACTAGGCCCAAGTTACATAATGATTAATAGGCTTAACTCATAGTTATTTCAAAAACAAAATGTTTTATGTCTCCAGAAGCCACTTTGCCCAATTATTATTTCCAAGGAAACATACTTAATGTAGGCCTAAAAGCAGGGCATACTGTATTGCAAAAGCCCATGTAGTCTTCTATGTTAACTCTAGGCCTAAACATGTGATAGCCTAGCCTACCCATTGAAAGGCTACAGGACAAGTCTTCATCAGCCTTGACCATTTCATTTATTCATTCCAATGGATAGCCTACACCATTTACAAAAATTTCACTTAGTCATTTGAAGACTCTTAGTCAGCAACCGAAAATACAATCAAGTAACTAATGTGTGTAACTAAATGAATAATAGGCCTATGTAGGCTAAGACTCAAGCTATGATAAAATGTAAGCACCTAGAACAGAAACGGCCAGACTAGTTCTTCGGGTAAAAGAACTGAACTTACCGAACCCTAGGCCTAGGCCTACCTTAAAATCCACCAGTTAGCAAGCAGTTTAAACAAAGTTAATAAAAATTAAGTTATACCTGATCGGAACTTGCACAAATTGTATTGTCGGCAGCCTCTTCCGATTCTGACCGAGTATTCACTTCAGTTTGTTCACGTTTATCGTTTTTGTCTGGAGCTTTAGGTTGGTTTTCTGGCTCCGGCCATGGTGCCATCTTGAAATATGACAGTTTATAATACACTAAGTGGCCAAAAATTATACTTTACGTTCCACTTGCACAGCTTAGGATCCATATTAAAATAACGACTGAGATAGTTAAAATAAGTATTTGAAAACTAAATAAGCCGACAAAAATTGAATAGTATAGGTAGTTCCTCGCGAAATGAGAAAGTATCACGCTCTCGAAACCAGATCCACAATTCACTCCACCACCACGGGTCGGGCACGGAACGGACGGCTTCAACAACTCTTCGTTCTTCTTTTCCTCTCTTGCTTCTTCCGATTAAAATTCAAACCAATGTGACCAACATGCAAAATGTCCGTTTCAGTTTTTTAATCCCTCTAATACGAGGCTCCGTGTTTAGCCCGGACGTGTTTGACGCCAAGGCCGGTTGGGTAATTCGGCACCTTTCGCCCCATTATCGAGTAAGGACGCTCGGTGGCGTTTCCCTCAAAACACAAAGATTTATAATTATCGTAACCAGAAATGGCCCGTAGCTACCAGTGGGAGAAAAAACGTTTATTTATTATTAATTCCTTTCGGATTTCAAAAATGAAACATTATTATTATAAGACCTGTATAATTGCAAGCACGTTGCAATGTGCAACGGAATCTATAGTATTATAAATTATAAATATTGGTTCTAGTAATCACTTTTAAATTTAACAATAAAATTTTTAAAAAATTGAAAGTAAAGCCTTTAAATTTTAGTATTACATCAAATATTGCACAAGCTTATGAACAATGAACCTGAGCATGTTCCATAACAATTTACTTGATAATGATTACTTAGGTGTCTATTTTACAATCAAAATTTAAACTTCACTTTTAGTCCTGAACCAGGGATGGGAACAAGACTGTTTCATGATTCTCAGCCTGTATTTTATATACTGCTTTACTGCGGTTCCGGATTCTTTTAATTATAACACATCTATATACTGTATATTAACTAGGTGGCGTTTGCAGAGGCATTTACAAAATTGAGTGGAGTCATCAGGGTTCCATATAGTATATTGTTATTGACCTTCACCATTGAGCTTCATAATTATTTTTACCAACCATTTTAAGTGAAGGAAGAGAACGTTTGTGTAAAGATAGGTATTGGTGTAATTAGATACACGTTGTTCGTAATGAAGGGGAGTAAAAACACAGATAGAGATGTAATTTTAGACATTTTCGGAGACCTGAATTTACATGTTAATTAAAAACCCTCAGGATTGGTCATGAACTTTTTCTAAAACAGAGCGGTACAGTTCTAGCTAGCTATGCCTATAACCTAGAAATAAATCCTTAACAGTTTCGGATTCCACCATTTTGGCCACTAATTACTGCATAAGAGGACATGATGGTGAGTATATCAGCGAAACCACGAAATATATACGAAAAATATCGTTAAAAAAGTTATATTGACATTCACATTTGCATTGATTCAAGCGTTTAAACCATAATCCATGTGTTCCACGTTAATAATTGTATAAGCAATCGGAACTGGGCTATAATGCCGTTATTTTAAATACAAAACTAATGTAGGTTAAGATAAGGTTTCCGTCATAAATATGACATATTTAAGTAAATAAAATATACATGTTGATCTTTAGCTTATGTTCTTTATTTTCATGCCTACTAATAATTGTTGTGACACGTGATGCGCCAATGTTTTGGTAATAATACAAACTAACACTTTCAACTAAACTATGATTTTATTGATGTAGATATGATATAAGCAAATTATATCAGTGGACTGTATAGTGAAGCTGTAATAAATTAATTTCTATAACGAAACTACTAAATGTGGATTAAGAGTCATAATTTAAGACTAATGAAATACGAGAGATCATTGACTAGATGCTGAAAGAAAACAATGTTACTCGGCTGACACGACAATCAGTAGGCTACTGATCACATAGACCACAGACCACATAGGACTACCACCCCACGGTCCTAGATAGAAAAGGAGTTTTTGTGACCGTATTTGTTCTTTACGCAGAAGGACGGTCTCAACTGCTTTGTTAAGAAGCCGACTAATTGCCCTATCAGAACGAATGAGTGGTTTATGCGATCGTAAACAACTCTAGATGTTTGACAATATTTCAAATTTAGAAACGTAACTATCTCCTAACAGCATAAATATAAATATACCCAACAGATTAATTAAATACACTCTCCCCAACAATGATTGTTTCAAGCAAAAAATACTCATAAATAAAAAATGTTTGAATGAACAGTATACAAGTATTTGACAAAAATCGTTTACGCCATCTTTAATTTTGGACTTCAGAGACTCCGATTTCTTTACACCGTTTCACTAGTAGGCTAAATGCACACAATTCTTAGTCAAAATAACCAATCTTTAATTAAGCAATTTTCTTAGGGTTGTCTTACGGATTTACTCGACTATATTCAAATCTTTGAATTATGTTTCAATCGTTTACTTATTAGTTCAGTATATTTTGAATACACAGAAATTTATGTTGATGACTAATGCTGTGAATACAATTCAGTGACATAAGAACCAAAAATCTATGTAAATAATACCCCCGCCGGAACAAACCTGCAGACTTTGCAGAATTTCCATTTACCGGGTTCGATTTTTACTAAAATATTCATAAAAAGTTGTAAGCTCTACAAAATGGCTTGGAGGGAAATTATAAAACTTTGTGTTTTTAGGGTCAAACATAGGAAAAATCATTTTTCACCCCGTAAAACACCTTATCAAAACGAAAAAGTAAATCGGTCCTGGATCTAGTCTTACCATGAGACCTGCTGTAATTGCTATATGGAATATATGGGAAATTCGCTAAAATTAGAGTTTTGTCTGTACATGGCTTAGAATGATAAATGTTTCGGTTAGTTTCATCGTATGGAACGAGTCATACGATAGGAAAGCAGAAACGCTTACTCAATTTCTGCCTGTCTGTCTGTGACGCACAAGATGTTATTTTACGCTCTCTTCGATGGGAAAACGAACAAACAGATCACGATGAAACTATTTTGATGTATTCTCTACAAGCTTGAGAAGGCTTTTAATTACTTGAAACGTGCCTATGTCCATTGGAAATAAAAAATACGAACACTCAAAACCCCAGTTTTGCGCGTAAGGCTCATTTTGTTCTAGGTGAAACCATTGACTAACCAACCACTAGTAGACTTATTATCCTATTGTAAATTTTGAAGCTCGTCTTTCGTGTCTAGTTCATGTTCGGCGACACTGCGTGCGTTAGTGTCGACGGATTTTTTTATTATTTTAGGGTTAATTTAAGGATTTGTGCTTTACTGTTTGGTTATGCACCGGCTTCAGCTGTTCCATACGGGATGAGAAATCTACTAGGGGAGTATGTTTGATCTATGGCTTTACTTTAATCAAGTCAAGGGATCTATAAATTAAATAATACTAGTGGTCGTCCAGTGGTCGAAAACTCGACCAAAACATGTAATGTACACCGTATTCACTATTGGGTACTGAAGTAAACATCCCATCTATATGGACCAGCTGTCGCCATTTTGTAACTAAAAAAAAAAAACATGTAGATGTGTGAGCCAATCACCGAATGTTTGTCTTAAATTCTATTTTCTACCTTATTTTTGGTTGGATTCCACAGCATTTTAGAGTTTCTTGATTTGTCTAACCCTTCTAAAATGTTAACATTTAAAATTTGGACGTCCACGGGGAGTAACCAGAGGTGAATAGGCCTACATGTTACTGTAATTGGGTTATTAGAAATCTACTAGGTGAAACCCGTCGAAATCGACGGTTACTTTCTTCAAGGCTTACCTTAATTCATCTAACTGCAATAAATTGGGTGAAATATACACATTTTGAGCATTTAGCATTGTTTTAAGAGTAATAAGTGTAACAACAATAATGATATTAATTGCGTTAGTTGCCAAATTTGGTTGATAATTCAATGAATAACATATTCCCCATACCGTACGTCATCGGTGTTATTATTAGTATGTTATATTGTATCTCTTTCTTAGGAAGAAATTTTAAACAGTATTAAAATGGTATTGGTGGATCTTTTGTAGTTAAACACTTCCGTGATTTGTAACATGGTTTTATTTCAAAAGAAAATAATGTTTGGGAAGACATATTCTAACTTCAAAGGGTTATAGCCGTTACAGTGTAAGTTTCATTTTTCCTTCGTCACGTCGCGTCAGTTCATATCGTACTTCTGTGCTAATGAATGAACCCTCTAGCATATTTTTGAGAAATTGATTGTCGTTTACTGCTGGAATTCCTTGACATGGGGGATGTCAGTTAGTTGTCTCAGCCTTATCCATAAAGTTGTCAATATAATCTCTCTACGGAATGTTAGGTGTAGTGGAATACTTGAAGTGATGCTTTTATTCTTGAACTGTTAGGGGCCTTCTAGTTCATATGGTCATGCGGTTTCATTGACAACAAATAATGCAAATGACATAGCAATGGGACATTTCCAAAAAGCGAAAATACTGTAAATTGGCTGTTACGTGTATATTGACGTTTACATATTGTTAATCAACGTATCTTATAAAGGATTATGTGATCTAGTTTAAAAGGAATATGGCCTTTCTGTCATGAGAGTAGCTGCTTAAATAGTATTTTCTCTTTGTGCCATATTTTACAGCCAAAACGTCGTGTTATTTTCAATAATGTTACCAAACCAGTGTGCCAAAGTCCGTAACAAAGGCAGGTGCAAATATTTGTTCAAGATGGGTAGGGTTTAGGCAAGGTTTCTATGTTTGGATTTTATTAGACACGATAAGAGCAGATATTTCCACATAAATATTTGATATGTGTAGAATAATATGATAAAATGTAATGTAGGCAAAAATGGTGAAAAAGCAGACACCTACCCGTACAATAGATATAAGATAGTTCAATAAGAAATAATTTAAGAATTGCTGTGATAAAAGGATTTTCCACTGATTTCGTAATGGAACGTTGCAAAACATGACATGATAAAGAAGAAAATCAATTTTTGTTTAATCAGAAAATAACATTGCAAATACTTATTTGGTAGAATTCAGTAACTCCCAATAAATGTGTGTTGTTTGAAATACAATTTAAAAATGAACAGCTGTTTCATTAAAAAGTATTATTCACATGGCCAAAATGTAAACAACTCTGTGGAGGGATCTTTAAAGGCTTCTGGGGCAGAGTCCTAAGGGATTTTGCTTAGTTTTTCTTTTGATAACTCATCTACAGACCAAGACCTTTCTTTGGACACCTC